ATATTAGGTTGTCCCATAAGTTTCTTCCGCGCCACGCTATGAGTGACTCTAAGTGGCTGTGTTTATATAAACATGCAGGCTTATCTCTTAGCCGTTTATGGCATCGGTTTCAGTCGTCCCAGAGCTCTTTCAAAGTACGTTTCGTTGGTGACAAAGTCTCTTTTAAAATTTTTTCTGCACCGTTCAATATGGAGAGCCAAAAGATGCATTTGCGGCATGTTATGCTTCATTGCTTTAAAAAAGGCAATAGTGCAAAGGACACTGCAGACGAGATTTTCACCGTTTACGGGAGTGGTACTACCACTATTAGGACCGTCGGCAATTGGTTTAAGAAATTTAGAGCTGGCAATTTCGAGTTGAAAGATGAAGACCGCAGCGGCCGCCCAGCAACGACTGATACGGACATTATCAAGACTGTGCTCACTGAAAATCCACGATACAGTGTGCGTGAGATAGTGGATGCCACTAATATTCCCAAGACAACGGTACATAAGCATTTAATCAAGATAGGATATGCGAATCGATATGAAGTTTGGGTTCCACACCTATTGACGGAGACCGGCCTTATGAACCGCGTCTCTACGTGCGATTTGCTTCTCCAGCGACATGAAAGGGATCCTTTCTTAAAGAGGCTTGTCACTGGAGACGAGACTTGGATTTTATACCAAAATGTGCATCGAAAACGCACTTGGTCCAAGGAAAATAGACCTTCAACTGTTGCGAAGCCTGGACTTGATCCGAAGAAGGTTCTTCTGTGCATTTGGTGGGACTGGAAAGGTGTAGTGTACTACGAGCTCCTTCCCCAAGATGATACGATCAATGCTGACAAATATTGCAATCAACTGGATCAATTGAAAGCAGCCAGTAGCAGAAAAACGGCCAGAATTGGCGAACCGACGAGGCGTCGTTTTCCATCGCGACAACGCAAGACCGCATGTTGCGTTAGCCGTAAGGCAAAAATTATTACAGTTTGATTGGGACGTTCTACCTCATCCTCCATACTCCCCAGACCTTGCTCCATCCGATTACTACTTGTTCCTCTCCTTAAAAAATTCTCTCCGTGGTAAATCTTTCAAATCCATAAGCGAAATAAAAACGCACCTAGATGAATATTTTACAAGTAAACTTAAACAATTTTGGAAAGAGGGCATAATGAGGCTTCCTGAGAGATGGAAGAAGGTT